TCTTGTCCACGCGGTCGCAAACTACGCTTCGGAAGTTTATTTACAGATGAGTAAGTACTAGGCAAAATTAAATTTGAATTTACTGATTCTAGTTGAACATCTTGGGGAACTTCTGCTACTATCTCTAATTGTTGTTCAATAGGAACGATATTATCAACAAAATTATATGGTTTTGGACTAGCTGTATTTATTACCGTTTTTTTCCAGCACCGCGAAATATAAAGTCAGAATCTTGGAAATGACTACTGCATACTCTTTTTTCATGTAGCTGCTGGTCAGTTAAAGCATATAGAGATTCGTTGCCGCTCTTCATTAATCAATCATCCCGACTGTAATGAAAAAAGAGACAATAAACCCAGTTGAAGAAAAAGAAAGAATGATAGATTAAAAGAAAAATTAATAAAAGGAAGAATTCAAAAAAAATTATGCAATCCATGCAGCTCAAATACCCAGCAATGTTCAAGCAATAGACGTGAAAAAATCAAGTTTCACAGCTGGAAAAATCAAACTCAAAGATCTCAGCCTAGTACTGAGTAATTTTTTTCGAGTACTCACTGTGTAAGATCGAACCATTTGACATTCGATCAAATTGCACTTACCGTGCGTTTAAGAATGCTTTCCTCATTCAGTATTGTCAAATCGTTTGCTTGAAAAATCACATAAAAATTAAAGCACCAATTGAATGCTCATAGACGATAACGAGTTTTATACCGTTTAAATATTCCGCGCGTCGAAGATCCGTAAAAACATACATTTTGATTTTAAAATGCTATTTTGCAATTTCGATTATTCTCTCATTTTCATTCTCGTGTGTACGTTATGAAAAACGATTGTTGTATGTTCGTGTGTACATTTTGAAAAACGATTCTTGTAAGAACGAGCATAAATAATAGCTTTATCACAAAGGCTAATAGAGATATAAACGACAAAAAACATTTATAGGTGCGGAATCGCTACTTTCAATCGCGCATACCGACATTTACGTTAATTCACGTATTTTTCGTCAATAACATTTCTAATTTATTAAAACGTTAAAATTTATAACTTTCGTAAAGATGTGATTGACTTACGTCTGCTGAATGTGGACTATAAAACGATGTAAGGTGATACCAGGTTCTTCGTTGGTTTTGCCACAGCCAGCAAAACAGCACTTATGCATCGTCATTTTCTTTAAACTAATGAACAATCTAACTAACTTATTGTAATGCACACACCCACACACTGAGGAATAAAATAGTACACTGAAGCTAGATAATATTTTAGTCAAACGAATTACTGAGCAATCGATTGAACGTCTCGACGCAACAACGAACTTGCCCAAACTAGTCGAATGCAGAAAAACATACGATTAGGTCCAGCGACACGACGATGCAATAAGGTCGTCGATCGATTTTGTTATGATGGAATCGCGCGCGCCAGTGCACGAGTCTCGCTTGACTCGCATGTTTACGCATGTATTATTTTCGGAGAATAGCGTGACCGTTGCAAACATTGCCAAGATGCGTGATATTCATTCTTCGTTAAATAAAAATTGTTGTATCTTGTATATTTAATGCTACTATTCGTTCAGAACTATATAATAATGTACCTACCCTGCGCAAATATATTAATTATTTTTTAGAACTTATTTTTATATTTTTATATTAAATTAATATTTATTTTTATACTATAATTTTTAATAAAAAATATAATGGCCAAAATATATAATCTGAGTGCATGTCAAAATCATGGTATGAGCATAGTTCAAATGAGAGGCTTAGGTTGTCAGTGGTAACATGTCTGTTCGGTCGAGTGGCTAGTCCGCTCGCCTGAGACGCAGGAGTCTCGGGTTCAAATCCCGGTACGGGAAGAAAAAAATATTTTTTTCTCAATTTATCGACGCCCGCTTATGGCGCCATCCATCTCTTGGGAGCAGTACTTTGCTCAGAACTTGCCTCAGTTTTTGATGGGGAAATACACTTCTATACCTAAGTATCTATCTTCTTTG